CTTTTCTCTCAAAGTCTGTCGTAAAATGTTTTTCACTGTTTTCTGCATTCAATGAGTGGTTGTGTTGAGACTTGTGTTGTGTTTTCTATTCACAAATGCTTGCAATATGTTTGCTCTCAATCCATACTCACATACACTCCAACCCCTGTATTCACAACATCCCTATTGTCTATACATCCATATCATCAACATTTTGTCAATTCATCACATTTTGGTACATTTTATAAGATTTATGCATATATTTAGCTATAATTGTTATTTCAATACCGAATACATAATAATGAAACGAGAGTTCACTCTAACGAGTGTTCATATGAGTGAATGGGAGGAAAGCGATTGGTTTGACTGTATTTGAGTTGTTGGTCGAAAATTGTGTGCAATTGTGTTGAGAGACATCTATTGACACATTTGCACCGCTTTTCACATGTTTTGTCGTTTGTTTTGATTTCATTATAAACTTATTGTAAACTTATATTTGAGTTAATTTTGTTAATAACTCTTAATTGTTATATTTATGTTGAAATTGACTGAAGGGCTCAACAATTGGTTGTCATTAAGGGGTAAGTGAATCATGTTTTGTAACCAAATATAGTTGTAATTGAAAACACTTAGTTTACTCATAAATAATAACTAAAATCCAAACTTAATGTTAATCACCACTCTTCACTACCGTTTCCCTTTCAGCTTCATTCGCAACTAAGACAGTAACTAACTCAGTTAACTTACGATATATAACCAACTTATCCAAAAACTACCAAACCTAGTTTTCACACCATTGCCCAGTATTTCACCACCGTAAGTCTGGTGCGCAATTGCTATTCTAGCTTCAGGAAGCAACCCTAGGTGTGCCATACGTAGAGTGGTCACACATATGACACTCGACCACAACATTCACATCGATTAATGTATTACTTGTTATAATTGTAGCCGAGATTTGGTCCATATATAAAGAAGACGACAAGATTAGAGGCGCTAAACATTAGGCCGTCAATCGTCTCTAATTATGATTACAATTATAGATGTGTTGTAAATATAGCGCTATTTAATAGAAACAGTGATTCATATGTAGTGCCGAAATGTCATTAAATGTCATGAAATTATTAATAAAACTAATTTTTTATTGATTTAATGAATAGGAAACCAGAAAATGAGTCATTGAATATGTTTGGACAGCCCTTCTGTATGTTAGCACACAGTAAGCATTGTATTGCCAAAGAGATTAATGTCGAATATCTCGAAAAATATTAGTCCGATTGTAAATCTATTTTAATATTCATTATCAGTACATACAAGGTAAAAAATAATCCCATTAGCCCATTTACCCCCGCCCACTTTTTCCACCCACCACCACAAAAAAGTTTACCAATTTAATAATGTGACCTGTTAATTTAATGTGCAATTTAATGCTAATCACGAATATCGAATCAGATTTAAAATGGGCATGATAGTATTCGACATAAACTTCTTAACTTAATGCTAATACTAATAATAGTAATGGTAAAAGTGCTGCCCAAACATATAATATCCTACCGAATATGCAGACTAAATAAAAACCACTAATTAGTCAGAAAATCATAACATATAGCATCATAACTAATGCTTTAAAACGAACAAATAGTTATAATTATAAATGGTACAATTTGTGAAATTCCTATTATGCGCCAAGGTTAAAGTGAATCAAACCGTGTGAACTGATACAGTGGCCAATCGACATGGTTTGAGAGTGTTGTGCGAGTCTTACGATTACTAGTATAATAGTGATGATTGCGCTCAGAAGTCACAACTATGACAAAGTCTCCAAAACGTCTCCAGCGGTCGCTCTAGTGATGAAAGTTCTGGAGGAATAGTATTATAGAAAATGTGTTTCGATTGTAGCATCGGTTTGGCCCGAAGAAGACGGCCATATGTGGGCCGATGTGTGCGACCGTTCAGTAGTGCCTCAAAATGGGGTCTATTGTGAGGCGCATATCATTCGGGGTTCGCTTCCCATTCGGTGGCTCTGAAGGACAACAAGTGGTGACCGAACACTGCATTCAGCCCTTAATGCGGACGATTCAATGTGTGGTAGAGTTGGGCACTCGGGTTGAGTCCACAGTCTGTTGGGTACATAAATAGCATACAATTGAAACGATCGCTTGAAATACCATTCAAATGGTGTGAATCCTATGAACCTTTGGACAGAGGGGTTGGCTCTACGCTAACCACTGTCGGCGACCTTTGGTCTCCAAACTATGCAAAGCTGTGAAGACTGCGACTCAATGTGTGTTCACAACAACACATCTAAACTAAATTAAATAAAAATGAAATGAAATTGAATAAAAATGATAGTTTAGGTTATATTATAAGGTTTCCTCAAACACTACGCACTAAATAGCATTCACTGCACACATAGACCGCCATTACTGGCACTCAAAGCCACTCAACACAACCCCAATGTTGTCCTCTCTCTCTCTCTCTCTCTCTCTCTCTCTCTCTCTCTCTCTCTCTCTCT